TCCTGTCCTCAGAGCCCCTGATGCACACAGACACAGAGCAGAATAGAGATTGGTCCCCCTACATAGGGTCACTTGGCAGATATGGATTGACACCTGTCCTAAGGATCCCTGATACACACTGACACAGAGCAGAATAGGGACTGTTCCCCCTACATCGGGTCACTTGGCAGATATGGATTGACACCTGTCCTAAGGATCCCTGATACACACTGACACAGAGCAGAATAGGGACTGTTCCTCCTACATAGGGTCACTTGGCAGATATGGATTGACACCCGTCCTCAGAGACCATGATACACACTGACACAGAGCAGAATAGAGACTGTTCCCCCTACATAGGGTCACTTGGCAGATATGGATTGACACCTGTCCTCAGAGACCATGATACACACCGACACAGAGCAGAATAGAGACTGTTCCCCCTACATAGGGTCACTTGGCAGATATGGATTGACACCTGTCCTCAGAGACCATGATACACACTGACACAGAGCAGAATAGGGACTGTTCCCCCTACATCGGGTCACTTGGCAGATATGGATTGACACCTTGTTACAAACTGCTATTTGTAACGGGCCCTTTAAATGGCAAATTGCCTGCTTCCCTGGGTTGTGGAGAAGCCTATTTGCCAGCCTCCTCCCGCATGACTATGGCCCCTGGGAGATTGTGAAAATGTATGCACTTTTATTTGGTGTGTATGGCCCTTTAAGACTGTCGGTGGGCATATTGGGGCTTATGGACTCTTTATGTGACTGGTGCTGGCCCTTTAAACACCTTTTTTGGGACATCAGGAAGATTGGGACACTGCCCCTTTAAGGCCGTGTCCCCAGACTTGTTGGGGACACTGCCCCTTTAAGACGGTGTCCCCTGTGTCCCCAGACCTGGTGCAAACCCTTTGTGCCTGCCTGGCTATTTCCCACTTGGTTCAGTCGGGGCTTACTGAACCAAGTACCACACAGGCAGACCACCCAGAAGTGGAAGTGTGCAGGCAATTTACCTTCCTAGAAGCTGGTTAATCGAGCCTTTGACAATCCTGGGAGGTCTTTGTTAGTTTGTCGAACACGTGGCGGCGGCCATCTTTGATCATTCGACGAGGTCAGCGGTATGTGTAGCCAAATTCATGGAACTAAAATCGGCTACACATTTCCGCGAACACCGCTGAGCTCTACCTTCTCCCCTACTGGTTTTACAGCTGCAGAGACTAAGTCCCATTCGTCGTTTTTTCAGCATGAAATAGACCGACCGCAGAGCCCAAATCTATGGAACTGTTTTGGGCAGGAAAATGTGCTTGCGGTCGGTCATAAAGGGACCTCCAGCTAACTTTTTAACCCCTGGATGGATTTTGCTGATTTTTGGTTATGTTTATGTTTTAAGTGTGCTGATTGTTATGAAGATGGGATGTGTAGTTTTAAAGTTACAGTGTATGGCTAAAAACTGTATTTTTACTGCCTGTGTTTAATTTTATTAAAGACACGGAGGCTCATATTATGCATAACTCTTTCTTTATTTCCTCAGCAGCAAAGATAGAGGAATATAAATATTGTCAAAAATGAAAGAAAAAACTGTATAGATACACAGGCAACCAATCACATAACAGAGGAAGTGACTATATAAGGCCTGTGTCTCCCACAATCCCCCTCTTTCTTTGCTGCTTCCTCAGACCAGCTAAGTACCACAATTTTGCTCTACATGTTTCATCATTTATTGCTGTTTATAGCTGTTTTACATTTTATTATTGTGCTGTATTTGCTGGGTTCTGTTTATCCCTGTGGTGTGCCTAGTGGGTTTCCCTTCTCCAGCTCTGTTTCCCCGCGGAGGGGACTCCCTCCCTTACTTTTCCCTGCGGCTGGTTTCCCTTCTGGGTGCTCGAGCGCAGTTTGTGGGCGGCTGTTTGCCGCGGTCTGCTCTTGCCGACCGCGGCTACAGTCCCTCGCTCTCGCGACCTCTGTGCCGCGTGGGTGAGGTGCACGCGCCCCTTCCCCCCAGTGTGTCCTGGCCGCGAGCGATACCCGCCGGCCTCCACGTGCGGTGGCCATCTTGGAGGCGGAGCTTACTCGCGGCCTGTCCTAATACTCCCTGCGGCTCGCGGCCAGCCTGCTGCCCGCCTCTGCAGTCTCCTGGGTCCCCTGGGCACACCTGTCAGCACATTTCTCTTGGTTTTTCCCTCCTGTGGGTTACTCAACCCCTTTTTCTCTCTGCATCTGTGAGTATTTCCCCTGCCATTATGCAAGACAGGGATGAGGGGCATGAGGGCCTCCCTGACACTTTTAATCAAGATGTTCCTGAGGGCAATGTAGCTTCCCAAGAATTCCAAGCCCTCTTGGATGCCACTATGGCATCATCCTTGCAGAGGGCCTTTGCCTCTGTCATGGGAGCGGTGTCCACATCGTTCTCCCAGTCTCTGCAGAATATGCTTTTGCCCTCCTTGGCGGCTCCTTCCCCCCTGGGTGATGGGATGCCCCCGCCATGCCTGGGGCCCGTAAGGCTAGGGCTAAGGCGAAACACGTCAGCTCCCACTCCTCAATGCAGGTTATGCCTGCCATGATGGACTCGCTTGACGCGGTCACAGAAGGCGCACCTCCCCCGCGCAAAAGAGCCCCTGGCCGGGCTAAAAAGGCTAGATTGTGGAAACGGGCTAGAGCCCTGGATGATGGGTCGGATACCGACCGGAGTGTGGAGAATGAGTCTGACGATATGGAGTATGACTCCTATGATGAGGAGGATTCGGGCGGAGACTTACCCCCTACGGGTGTGACCCCCTCGGGATCCTCTGCCACTTCTAAGGGTCAAGTGCTAAGCTCCACTGGGGATAGTAAAGTATTGTTTGACCCTCAGGGTAACCCCCTGTTTGACCCTGACGACCTCCGCCACCCCAGGTCAGCAGAATGGGTCCCTCCTGAACACATAGCCCATTATGCTCGGCCTGCAAAACTCCCGATATTGACCCCCAGATTGCCCAGTTCCTGAACAAGTCAGGCTGGAAGTCCAAAAAGGGCCTGGACTTAAGGGCTGCCAGGACAAGATCTTGGATACCCTGGGCCCGCTTTCAAAGCTGTACGAGCTGCTTAATGCCACTAGAGCTGGCGATTCTGTTTTGGACATTGATGTGGCCATCGGTTGGGTACAACGGGCTATATGCCTTTTGGGGAACGCTAATACCGCCATGTCCTCAGAGAGGCGTAAGGCGATACTCCTTAAAATTGACCCGAAACTGGCTGCCATGACGGTGGCGGAACCAGGCACATCTGAAGAAGGGGTCTTGTTCGGTACTTCATTTGTTAAGTACTTGGGGTCATATGTTAAGACCTTTGCGGCCATAGACAAAGCGCAGGCGAACATGAAGCGCATGTTCGCACCCAAGGTTTTCGGAGGGGCCGGGCGTAGCAGGAACCGTCCACCCGGCCGTGGTTTCCGAGGCTCCTTCCGTGCCTCCAGAGGTTCCTTTTTCCCGTCCCGGGGATTTCAAGATTCAAGGACGCCTCCTTTCTTCCCGGCCAGAGGGAGATCTTGGGGCTCCAGATACCCCCGCGGTGCCGCTTCGGGCAGACGCCCTTATGGTGAGTACCCTTTCTTCCCCTTTCGCTCAGGTGCGGGTAGCGGGAAGGCTGGCTCTGTTCCACCGGGGGTGGGCGAGTATTACTTCAGACACTTGGGTCCTACAATGTGTAAAGGGTTATCGCCTGGAGTTTGTTTCTCTGCCTGTCCAATTTCATGTCCCCAGGGAATTGTCTCTTCCGCTGGAGCAGGACGAGATGATCTCCATGGAAGTCGAGGAGATGCTGTCAAAAGGCACCATAGAGGAGTTGCCGTTCGCCTCTCCAGGCTTTACGAGCAATCTCTTTCTGGTACCGAAGAAAGGGGGCGGGGTCCGTCCAGTGATAAACCTCCGTCCTCTCAACGCATTCCTCCGATACCAGCATTTTCAGATGGAAGGTATACACTGCCTCAGAGACCTCCTTCGGCAGTCGGACTGGCTGGCCAAGTTGGACCTGAAGGACGCGTATTTCACGGTTCCGATAGCGGTGGAATGCAGGGACTACTTACACTTCACCTGGCACGGGAGGCGATGGCGCTTTACCTGTCTGCCATTCGGCCTTTCCTCGGCTCCTTGGTGTTTCACCAAGATCATGAAGCCTGTGATGGAGTTCCTTCGTACCCGTGGTACGTTTGATTATTTACCTGGACGACATTTTAATCATGTCTCAGTCCAGAGACCATCTTCTGATGCATTTGGAATGGACGGTCGATCTGCTTCAAAACCTGGGTTTCATGATCAACTGGGACAAATCGGTCCTAGACCCCGCACAGTCGATGGAATTCTTAGGTTTCCAGGTGGATTCCATCCGCCAATTTCTGTACCTACCGGATTCGAAGGTGAAGGCCATCCAAAAGGAACTGCGAAGGGCTCTTCGTGTACCGGACCTGTCCGTCAGACAGTTGGCACGTATTATCTGCCTCCTTGCGGCCTCCATTCAGGCGATATTCCCGGGTCCACTACATTACCGTGCCCTCCAAAGGCTCAAGGGTTCGCACCTCCGGTCGGGTCGTTCCTACGAATCTCGGGTACGACTGGACGAGGAATCCAGGGACGAACTGGTATGGTGGTTGGCACACATGGAGGCCTGGAACGGGAGAGCCATCTTCGGTTCCGTCCTGGACGTGGTAATAGAGTCAGATGCCAGCTTACACGGCTGGGGTGCTCGCTGTGGCAACGTTTCCACAGGAGGCAGATGGTCCGAGATAGAGAGATCCCTGCACATCAACTGTCTGGAACTCTTAGCAGGGGCATTTGCGATTCGCAGCGTTACCCCAGGACGGGCGAACTGCTGCGTTCTCCTCCAAGTCCAGGATGTTAGCCCTGTTGGCGAAAGATTTTTGGCAATTTTGCCTTTGCAACAATGTCTCCGTGACAGCGGAGCACATTCCGGGACTGGAAGATTCGGACACGGATTGGAATTACAGACATTTGAGAGACTCGGGAGACTGGCACTTGCACGTTTCGGTATTCCAAAGCCTAGACAGACTATGGGGCCGGTTCAGGATGGATCTGTTCGCGTCCCGTATGAACACCCAACTACCAAAATTTTACAGTTGGAGGCCGGACCCGGCGGCAGTGGCGACGGACGCCTTTCTCCAGGAATGGCCACCGGGCTGCCTTTATGCATTTCCACCATTCAACATGATCACCCGAACGCTCTCGAAGTTGGTTCGTCACGATTGTTGCCTGACTTTGATCACTCCTCTGTGGAGATCCCGACCATGGTTCCCACGTCTGTTGGAGTTGTCAATAGACTACCCCCGGGTGATTCCGAGCTTCCAGGATCTCCTTCTGGATCCGGACGGGAACTCTCACGGTCTGGTGCTACAACAGCAATTGCCGCTGGTGGCGTGGCTCCTTTCAGGGGAACCTGGACTGTCCCGAACGTTCCGCGATCAACTCTCCTGCTCCTCGATAACGCCTGGGCTCCCGGTACGAGATCAGCTTACCGCGCTTCATGGAATTCATGGTCTAATTGGTGCATGGAACGGGCAATGGATCCCGTATCTGCCACTCTCCATCTGATCCTGGAGTTCCTCACGGCACTGTTTGATGCAGGCAAGGCGTACCGCACTATCAACCTTTTCCGCTCGGCGATTTCAGCCGGACATAGAGCAGACATCCTTTTGTGTGTCGTCTTCTCAAGGGTATCCGCCTTGCTCGCCCTCCTAGATCCCGTTTCTCTGTCTTCTGGAACGTCAACATCATGTTGCAGTTCCTCTCGTCATGGTATCCTAACCACGGACTGAACCTCAAGCAATTGTCCTCCAAACTAGTGATGCTACTCTGTTTGATTTCGTGTAAGAGGGTGTCTGATGTTAGAGCTCTTGATTGGGACGCCATTGCTTTCACCCCGGAAGGTGTTGCTTTTCACATATCCAGGAGGACTATATTGGCATCCAAGTCATTTGTTTATCCTAGGTTCCCGGACTGTCCGGCATTATGTCCAGTCGAATGTCTGAAGGCTTATCTGGACGCTACGCAATCTCTTCGCTCCTCGGATCTACATCCTTTATTCGTGTCTTTTAAGGCGCCTCATCGGCCTGTTTCGACTCCGACTCTGGCACGTTGGGTACGTTGGCTTTTATCTTCAGCGGGTATAGACACTTCTGTCTTTACGCCTTACTCTGTTCGGGGTGCTTTGGCTTCGAAGGCATCCGCAGTCGGCTGTCGGCTGGAGGACATCATGCGTGCAGCGGACTGGTCTAGAGAATCGACCTTCCGCGACTTCTATTTCAGACCTATTGAACATATCGCAAATCAAGTGATGGCACAGCTTTAAACTTGCATAATATGAGCCTCCGTGTCTTTAATAAAATTCCCAGATTTTACTATTAACATGACGTAAAGTCATGATTTTATTAAAGACACGGAGGCGAGTATTATTCCCTCCCGATGTGGGTATAGGGATGAGATGCTATTGGAATCTTCAGGTACGTTTTCATTTCGGTCTGTTTTTTTGATGAGATTTGTGTATGTCATTCACATATTATATTAACCCCTTAAGGACACAGCTTCAGAAATAAAAGGGAATCATGACAGAATATTTCCGTCATGTGTCCTTAAGGGGTTAATGATATATTTTTATGTCTTTCAGGTTCCAGTTTCTATCATTGAATTGTCAACAGTTTGTTTTGATTCCGTTTTTTTTTTCTAGCATTGAATGACCAAGGTTTGTTTGGTAAGTCTACAGTTT